CTTCAATGATTGGTCACGGCAGAACACGCTTCCTATAGTGAGATACTGAACAAGCTTGGAAGAGAACAATAAAAGCATGCTTGAGGAATCCAGGGGATGATAAAGAATGAAACAGTGGCAGTGAACTATGTTAAGAATAAACATTTTTAATAATTTGATAGAAAGTATAGACGTAATTCTAAAGGGGAAGTGGTTTTAAGGTGGATATTGTTTTGCAGTGTATCAATATTTGTTTAATATGGAAGTAGACTTTCAAATAAAATAATATTTAGCCACTGGATATTGCATCAGTACCTACTTGTGTACTTTTTGCCTCTTAGTATTCAACGGGATTCAGCAGAAAGCGGTCTCTCCAGGCTGGTTATCAGATAAAGGCAAGTCTGCCTGGCTGACTGATAGTCATGCTCTGCCATGACAATAATGAGCAGCAGCCGCTGACCGATAAGAAGGGGAAAAAGCAATATCACAAGCACTTTTAATTAGGATTGGTGACTGCCAAGAGTACAGTAAATCAGCTGTGAACAGTCCGCTAAAATAAAGTCAAACACTTCTTTCTACAAAACCCTATGCTTAGGATGAGATGTAAAAGGCACTTATTGTCATTTATAACACACATGACAGAATCCTACATAATAGTAATTTGTGGTAACTGTACCATCCATCTGAGGACATTGAGATTAATATGTTGAGAATTTGGGATTTTTTATTCTCTTCTTCTTTTAGTCCTTTAAATAAATACGAGTCATTAGTTCCTCAACATTTGTATTCTTGCCAGTGTTCAGAGTTGCTGTGCAGAAAGGGGAAATAAAACAAATGTTGATTTTTAAGTTTTCACATCGTACAGATTCCCCTACTTCTTAAACTATTTAAAAGCTCTGGATTATCTGAAAAATGTATTGTCACAAATATCTATTTTGAAAATGCATGGTTTTCAGAAGACGGGGACATTCCTGTTGGGAAATAGAATTTACAGAAAATTTCTCATTTATGAATCAATACATTGTGACAGCTTTGATTTAATTCAGATTTTTTAAATCTGATAATTGATTAACTGGATCAAAATGCTTAGAAGTCCTAAATTTTCCTTAAGTACACAAGAATTATCAGCAAAATATACTTACAGTATATTATTTTTAATTTGCACATTTATTTTTGGACTAATGTTTTTTTAATATTTTATTTATTCAGGGAAGTTTCACTGAGAGGAAGCCTCCCTTTTTACAGGAACACCCTGATCACATTCACATCTGGAAGCTGCCCAACCACAGTCTGATCTGCTGGGCCACTGAACAGCACTTGAAATTTTAAATTGTGGATAACCTTGCTTACTTGTTAACTAGTTGTCATGTTGTTGTGTTTTGACCAACCTTTTAATAAATTTTTCAAACCATTCCAACAAGGTGGCATAAACATACAAATATACAAATTATGCATACGGAAGTACAAAAAAGGGGGGGGGTTAGCAGTCATATAGACTACTAGAACAGTGTGCAGTGTGTTTGCAGTGTGTGTGCTTTTACAGTTATGACGAAAGGTAAATATTTTCTGGTTTTCCCTCTGATGTCCTCCGGCTGCTTTGCCTCAACTCTATAATTTATGAAGATTCCTGATGGACCGGTAGCTTTACTTGTTGCTAATGCTACAGCTTGCTAACCGCTAGTTGTTGCTAACAGTAGCTCCTGTTATCAGCTGCCTCTGAAACGGTGGTCCAAAGCTTCTGTACTAATGTTACTGGTGTAAACACCAACACAACCGGAGCACCAAGCTTGCAGTCCGGGAGGAATCTGCAATAGGATGGTTAGCTGATATATGAAAGGTAGAGTATTCTGCGGTTTTGCCAATGAGGGAATTAGATTGCTTTTTTCCCCAATACCTAAAAATGTATTAAGGAAAATCTGTGTAATCTTGCCAATTTACTTCCCATTTATACAGTTTCCAAACATGTCTGTGTTTAACATGCAGGTCATTCATGTTTTCCTGTATTAATGTCTCCTACTTAAATTTAACTGATCTGATTGGGTTTATCTGGCTTGATCGGTAGATGAATGTTTATGGGATATTTCATAATAATATTGCTTATTGCCTAAAAGAAGCATATAAGGTGAATATGACTGGTCCAATCACAGAACCTTGTGGAACTCTGCATACATGTAGGATAAGTAAAACTGAGATCGATCTGATAAATAGGACTTAAAACAGCTTAGAGCTGTTTCTTTGATGCCAGTTAAATGTTTCAGTCTCTGTAATAGGATGTGATGGTAAATTATGTCAAATGCTAACAAGTACAGGTACAAATACTTTGTCTGATGCAATTAGAAGGTCATTTTTACCTGTGCTGTCTGTGTGCTATGATGCACTCTAAAACCTGACTGACAAAAAATATTGCTATGTAGAAAGTCACAACTGATTGGTGACTGCACTCTGAAGGATCTTAGAGAGAAAGGGAAGGTTAGATATTGGTCTATAGTTGGCTGAAACCCCTGGATCAAGAGTGGGTTTAGAAGTGGTTTAATTACAGCTACATGAAAGGACAGTGGTTCTGTGGCCTGTTAATAAAGAAAGATTGATCATGTCCTGTAAAATGTGCTAACTAAGTGAAAAAATTCTTTAAGCAGCCTGTTTTGGACAGGGTCTAAGAGACAGGCTGGCGGCTTAGATGAAAAAATCATTGAAGTTAGTTGGTAAAGATCAGTAAAACAAAAGCAGTCTAAATATGTATCAGGTTTTACAGCTGTTTCTAAGGTTCCTGAATTTGAAGATAATTCGGTACCAGTTGAAGGCAGTGTGATAAATTTTGTATATAATTGAATTTTATCATCAAAAGGAGCTCAAGAAGTTATTACTTCTGAGGGCTGTAGGAATACATGGCTTAATAGAGCGGTGACTGTCAGCCTGGCTACAGTGCTGAAAAGAAATCTGGGGTTGTTCTTAGTTTCCTCTGTTAGTGGCCATTAATAGGCTACCCTGGTATTACAGAGAGCCTTCCTATTTGTTTTAAGATGGACTTGCTGGACTACAAGAGATTCTTCTAGATTGGTGGAACGCCATTTCCTTTCAAGTTACCGTGATGTTTGCTTTTATTTGCGGGATTGGTGGTTTTACCATGGAGCTAACCTTCTTTGTTTTATTAACTGTTTTCTCAATTTGGGAGGGACTGAAGTTATCATAGGAGTCCTCTGTTCTTTTAAGACAATGAATTAATTGGAGTATTAGGAATTCAAAAGTTATTAAGGAAACACTATTATTAATTGTTCAATTTCAATGTCATATGCCAGAGCAAGGTAGAAGGTGTGGTTAAGAGTGGGTTTATGAACACTCTGGCAGAAGCCAATCTAATAATAAGATAAAAGCAGTACTAAGGATATCATTGTCAATGTCCACATGAATATTAAAATCACCTGTAATAATAACTTTATCTGTGTTAAGGACTAAACTTTATAAGAACTCTGAGAAATCAGATATGTTCAGATTATGGACCAGGACCACAGTTCACTATAACAAATTCAAATGGCTGTAGTGTTTTCCAGGTTGGGTGTGAAAGACTAAGAACAGGGCTTTCGAGTGAGTTTTTCTTCAGTTTAGGGTTGCTTAATAGGCTTTAGTCAAAGATGGCTGCAACTCCACCTCCTTGGCCGGATGGTGCCATGAGGAATGTGAGTATTAATGTGACTTGGATTCCTTTAGGCTAGAATGTTCTTCATAACCCAGCCAAGTTTAAGTAAGACAAAATAAATCGGTATGATACTCCGATATTAAATCATTAACTAGTACAGCTTTAGATGACAGAAATCTTAATCAGAATTATTAAAGTGGTCGGGGAAGAACAGACACCGTCACTATGGGGTTTTGGGTAGGTAACTGCTCTAATACTGAGTCCGACGTCGTCTTTGCATACGTGCTCACCGACTCAACATTAAATTTAATCGGGAGTCATTACCACCAATGTGAATAACAATCTTACTATAATACATTCTACTGCTACACATATCCTTAGCTAGCAGCTTTAAATAGGATTCCATGTTGCTCGCACTGGCCCCAGAAGTGCATTTGACTATAGTTGTTGGTGTCATTAACTTTGACGTTTTTCAAGATAGAACTGCCCATAAACAGAGTTGGTTTTTCAGCAGGTGTGTCGCTGAGTAGGGTGAAAATGTTAGAAACGTGAACAGGTTGGTAGTGAAACTGTGGGCTTATGGTTAAGGCTATGCCCCCTTCTGACATTTACCCAGGCTCCCTAGTTTCGTGGCTGCTCAGGAGCTGCTGGGAACTGCAAACAGATGAAACATCTGGTCGGTCCGCACTGGCCACTGGGGGCAGGCTAACGACAGCAGCTAACGATTGAGTTTCCATGGTGCGTAGCCGCATTTCCAATTCTCTAAGCCTCACCTCCAACGTGACAAATAAACTGCATTTATTACATATACCATAGACGCTAAAGGAGGCAGAGGAATAGGCACCCCGTATCAACAGTAGCATGATAAATCAACAAATGTGTTGATCATGTAGTGATCCTGTCTATACCAGTGGAGCTGGGATGGAGCAGGTTAACAGTTTCAGGGTAGCTTACAAAGAACCTGTCATGTTCATCTCCAGCTCAGACAGCAAAGTTCCCTTGTCAGCTTTTACAGAGGAGCAATAGAAAGCATCCTGACTGGAAACATCACAAACTGGCATGAGAAGTGCATTGCCCAGGACAGGAGGGCTCTACAGCGGGTGATTTTTGTGTGCAGCACAATGGAACTACAAATGTAAACTTTGTTATACAACCTTGTGTTGTAAAATTACATTAAATGAAACCTTGAGTACTGATACTTGAGGCTTTTTTTCTCCCAGGTTACCTTCTTCACTTGTCACTAGCTTATTATTTATATTGTCCGCATTCATGTCATGTGCTGCTATCATTGGGTTTAACTGCAGGAAAGCACCCAAAGATGTGTTCGTTTCAGTCAAATTAATTCTGATGTACCCATCATAACTCTTTGCCTCTCTTTTTCTGACAGTGGTAGAACTGAGAGGCCAGTGGATCCCTTGTCAACTCCATTTCCCAGCGGACAACATGAAGGAGGAAATTCCACTCACCCTGATATCCAGAGAAGTCCATTCCATCAGACCTTGCACCATGAGTCTTGAAAACATCTGTTCTGAAGTGTAAAAAACATCACCACCTCCTCCTGTCCCCCTCTGTCGGTCTTCTCTGTAACCCATAGGAGGAAAACAACAATTCCTCCATTACTACTGGACATCTTATTGATGTGATTGACCTTAAGACTGTTAACCACAACGACTGTTATCTTGCTACTGCCCTTTTCCCTTTTTAAAAAGATATTTTTATGAGAAATATTTATCTTAATATACTTCGGTACATATTGTGGACACTGTGGATCCCTGAAATTCCGTGTAACCACCCTAAGATTTCAATCTGATTTGAATTCCCATCAGACACCTTCTTGGATTAATAAATTTTTTTGCAGCTATGGATCTTGTAGGCTTTTCTATCAAGCTGCAAGTGTTCCTCAGCACATGTCTGGGACTGGAATTTTTAGGTATACCAGGTCAGTGGGCACGCTACCTCCGCTGGGACGCCAGCACCCGCGGTGACCTCAGCTTCCAGTTCAAGACAGAGGCCTCTGAGGCGCTGCTGTTGTACTTTGATGATGGAGGCTACTGTGACTTTCTGCAGCTGTCGGTAGTGGAGGGGCGACTGCAGCTGCGTTTCAGCATTGACTGTGCTGAGACGACAGTGGTGTCTGACAGACGGGTGGATGATGGCAGCTGGCATTTTGCCACTCTAAGTAGGTATAACCTGCGCACAGTGCTGGTACTAGATGGCCAGGCCAAAGCAGATGAAGTGCGGCCTCAGCGTCTGTTCATGAAAATAGTCAGCAACCTGTTCCTGGGTGGAGTGCCTCAGGATATCCGCAGCGGTGCGCTCACACTGCCTACCGTGCGAAACATGCAGCCCTTCAGGGGCACAATTACAGACCTCAAATATGGCATCTCACAGCCCCTGTTCCTGGGAAGCCTTAAGGTGCCCCTAGAGTCAGAAGGGTGGTGCACTGTGAACCCATGCGAAAATGGCGGTACGTGTTCAGTGGTGGATGGAGAGCCGGTCTGTGACTGTTCCAAAACAGAATACATGGGCCGCTTCTGCAGTGAAGGTAAAGTATGCATTTAGCCATTTACCTTTTAAAGTTTCTGACAATGCTGTCATTCACCCAGACAGACTTTGGCAGGACTCCAACTGTGAAACACTCACTCACTTCAACTTTGATTTTTGCTCAGTTCTGTTTAAAATTTGTATTTATTGCGTTTCCAACTGAAGCCATTATTCCAAAATTGCCTCACAATCCATTGCTGTTCCTGGGGGCTTGATTTGAATCAAAACAAATTAGAAACGTGGCCAGTAAATCACAGGCCTTGGACCAAAGCCAGTTAAAGCTAATGAAGTACTAAGGGAAATGGCGGGGGGGCATCCAAATAATTTATCGGAAAAAAATGGCTTGACTGAGTGTTCTTTCACATTTGGAGAGCAGAACTCGTCCAGCTTAGACAAAGCATATTTGATTTGGTTGTTTTTCCCTTGTGCGATGATTGAGGTGATTTCACCTGAATTAATTTGTCACCTTATAGGCATGTTAAAGACCAATGTCATGATTTTGAAGTTTTCAGTATTCTTCACAGAACTTGGCTTTTTTTAATTCTCTATAAGGATTGTTTTTGCTATTACACCAGGTGTCTTGGCTCTGAGGCAGTTTGACTTTGTGGATTTGCTTGGCTCTCCCAGTGATTGCTATTGTGTTTGTGTGTGTGAGCTGTAAAATCAGAAAGCTAATCTGAGCACGGTTAGCCAGTGAGGTTCAGGTTAATGACATTGGTCCTGCAGGCAGTGATAAGGACGCCTATAGGGAGAATGGGGCCTCCTGAGCCCCCTTTCTTCACCCAATCATGAGATGGCAGGTGTTTTATATCACATCCTTTTGTGCTTACAATTTTGCCAAAGCTGTGTTTCAATCGCTCTACAGCTGGCTGTACCCAGACCAAAATTGATTCCTATTAAAAGAAAAGCCTTTACTCATTCCCTGCCACCATTTCGTCCCTGCAGGCACTTTCACTTGCTTTATGCTGAAACTGGATTTCTTTTGATTTGATAAATCTTTAGTGCAGAACATTCTGTGATAATGCCTGTTTTGTTGTGGCAATTGGTGAAGATGCAGTTAGCACATGAAATGCATCGAGACACCTCTGCTTTTGAAAAAAACCCTCGTCATGTACTTCATTATTCACAGTCAGTATACATACTTCAGGCTTCCAGGAGCTGAGGAGTACACAATTGGACTCCTTATGAGATAATCAATGGCACTTAGATGAGAAAGTCACTGAACTCTTTGTTTCCATTTAATGAATTCAGATCAGTGGTAATTTGTTTTAATATGTTGTATGTCTGCTATTTTTGTTTGACTTTTGAGAGCTCTTCCAAACCTCTCACAAATATGGAATTTACATCCCATTTGGGCTGATGCCAAATCCCTGGCACACAAACAAAAGGCAGGGCAATCTGAAATTTAAAGATTAGGTTTTTTATCTATTGCTGCAGGTGTTTCAAATAAAGGAGAGGATGGGGTGGGGCGTGTCTGTGCTTTTCCTCTTCTCTGCGTCTTTGTGGTGGCCAGTCTGCTCTGCTTTTGCTCAGCTGATTGATCGGATGGCATTTAACTGACATGGTGGGCTTCGGGAGTAGAAATGTTTACGCTTCAGTTCCTCTCTTTTAGTTGTCTTTCACTGCAGACACATGAGAACAGCAGAAAACATGCGTAAAGTATTAAAGAAATATTGCAAGCTCAGCCGGTACTTTTGTCACAACATCAGGTAATTAGAGGACTTGCTGCAGCTGCTGGCTGCTGACTGACACACAGAGCAGGATCATCCAAGCCTCTCGGATCCTCTAATCAACTGCTTTGATAAAGTTCATTGTTTTACCTAATGTCAAAGGCTCTTTCTATGCTCTTTGATTAGACAAGGTTAAGGCTTCCAGTTTCACAGCAGTGTGTGTTCTCCAGCTGGTGGTGGTCCCACAGCATGAAGTGAAATTTGGCTGTACTTCAGTCAAACTGTGGTGAAGTTCGTGATATCAGTAGCTGATTTGGTCTGGTAGAGGCACAACCCACACTGATGATGATTTATTAGCGCCACTTTTTTTTAGTCTCATTACTGCTGGCTTTGCACATACTGCCCCTGGTTTTCCTGCCAACACTGCTGTGAAACTAAAAGCCTAAAAGTCTAATATTAGGATGGCAGGTTCATTACACCCCATATTATGAAAGTGTTTGACAGAGAGACATACTGATGATTTTGCATAGAATTAATCCTATGGGGACCATGGGATTCATCTATTATGTTCAAGGTATATAAATGTTTCCCCCAGGAAGCTGGTTAGCAGAGCTGGTAAGTGCTGTGGATAAATCTGTGGCCTTTGCCGTGTCATGTAGCACCACTGCTGGTTTCCCCTGACACTTAATAAGCCTACTATTATGCTACATTATAGAATTTTGTTCATAGAAATTCTGACGGCAGAATGGGCGCCACCACTATAAAATGCTGTGGGAGACCAATATGGGTCAAGGGGGAAACTGTGACCTTAGGGCAACCAACATCAGTAGGAATCATCCTCTGGAGACCATGAATAAACACAGTAGAATATTTAAAACAAATGTATAATGAAAGCTAACAAATAAATTAATACAACAACAAAAAGCCTGTGTAAAGATTCGGTGCATTTCATTCATTTTTACACAGACCTATTCAATATCATGAAGGTTTTAACAGTGTTACACAGGACTACACAGACTACAATTTTTTTCCCCCAGCACCAGATAGAATTATGTGCTTCATGCTTAACATATATTCTGCCACCATTTTGAACTCATTTAGTTGAGAAGTATTTGAATATGGTGTTCTTAGTCATACTTTGTGCTGGCATTCCAGCTCTGCAACTATAGGCATTGCTACATATAGTATCCTCCCACTCATGCATCCTTTCACAGTTCTTTTCCCAAAGAAACGCGCACCACCTCACCACCCTCTAGCTCCTCAGCACTGTCATGTGTGACTCAGTAAGGGCAATGGTGACCCTTGTAGGTTGCTTTTCCCAACCTTGATTTACAACCCCCACATTGGGAACCGTTCCCCAGTGTTAATTTCCCTCTGCCTCCTGCAAGGCAGTGATAGGTGAGTGGAAGCAGGGAACTCAAGCAGCCCTGGGAGAATCTTAATTGTTGATTCCTATGGGATAAATAACATGCTTAATGAAGCTGGCTAAGGTGAACTGGTGAAGTACCTGCTTTTTTGAATACATCAGGGAGAGAATATGACATGACTAAAAGTCTGCAAAACATGAACTGTATTGATGAAAGGTGTATTTACATGGTTTTAAAATGATTTTGAGATACTGAGAAAAAGTCACATTGTTTCAGTTGTTAAATATTTAAAATACAAACTGTAAACACAAAGTGAAAAATATCCCATAAGTCTGTGAATGATGTGGAGGAAGGAAAACTGCTGTACAGAATCTTGTTCTATGTTTTCTGTGACACAGTGTCTCTCTGTATTTACCTGGTGCTATTTTATTCTGAACTAAAAAATGTAGGCACTATATTATGTAAATTCACATGTTAGAATTCAAATATCAAATCCAAATATAAAATAAGGGCAAAAAATGTAAGTCAGATTCTCAAAGGATAACACTGATTAGGGGTGGAATCACCTATACAGTACCACTTCCATCAGTACAACAACATATTTATGTTGTACCATTCTCTGATTTCTCTCTTTTTAAAACTAATATATTCCAAAGTCATACACGCATGAGAGAGAACTATTAAGATCAGATTTAGAAAATGGATATCAGAATTATTTTTTCACTAGGCTCTCAGGGCTTCCATAGTTTGCTTCGGTTTTCTGTAACTTTTTGTTTCCAACATTAAGTCCTTCAAATTAAACAACAAAATACACTGGTTATCCATGCCCTTTGCTAGAGGTCTGCCAACATCAGAGGATGTCACACTGCGCTAAATGTCAGGCTCAAACAGGAATCAACCCACAATCTCCCAGGTCTTTCCACATTATGACTTAAAAGCTCATGAACACACTCCAAGATCAATCCTGTCGGGCAAATTTATTTTTCTAAAAGTAGTAAAATTTAAGTATACAAATACTGCAAATACTGGGAATGGACAATAAGATACTCACCATATGTATGAGTTATTGTAAAATGTATACTTGATGAAGACCTTGAAGGTTAAAACACTGCAATTTTTGTGAACTATTTTCCCTTTGTATGCCACGGCTCCCACACAGTGGTAGGACAAATAACACCCTTCTCATATGCTTATGTTCCATGACATGTTGAGAAACATGCAGGTGGCCACTTCTGACCTGTGGCCACATGTTGGAACAGCCGTGATGTGCCCATACACTTCATTATGCTAAAATAGGAAGGTAATGTTGAAGGAGAAGTACCTTGCAGACCTCAGTCGTTTTTAGTGAATTTTTCCTCCCCGCAAAATCAACCAGTGGATTTCTGCAAATCCTGTTTTTTGTCAATCTAAAGAGTTTAAACCTTCCATAGGTTCCAGCTGTTTAAATACCCGTAGAGAAAGTACTGTATGCATACTGCTGTGCCAGTTTATCAATATCCGATTAAGACCAGTGCAAACAAGACTGTGAACTCCTGCTTTCTTTAATTAATGATTAATTGATTGAGTCAGAGGGAGTGAAAAACTAGCAGAATTGCTGAGTCTGATGAGTAGAATTGATGATGTTAGAGAGAGCCAGTGAAAAAGCTCCAGATCAGGCTGCTTCCCTTGAAGCAACTAACAGGGCTGGCGTCATTTGTACGCTTAGGATTAAAGAAGTAGTAATACGTTTGTCAACCTGTTCTCACTCCCTGACTCGTCACATCGACGCATAATCAATACCCATCGGCATCAGTTTGTTACGCATAGGGGATCCCTATAACTTCATAGTTCAGTGCAGTGGGGGAAGCCCTGTAGCGTCAGTTTTTGACGGGAATATATTTAACACAAAAGACTGAGTAAGGAGGTGGTTGGGGTTGATGGAGGGCCAGAACCCCGACTTTAAACCAGGAGACTGGGGTTCGTGT